ACGCGGCAAGGTCGACGAGGCGTATTTCGGTGCTTCGAATCGAGAATTACAGGGACTCCGCACGTACCAACGGAATTAATAGTCTTCGAATCTCTACCGATCTCATTCCGACATATTTGAAAATATATTTAAGAAATATCCAAAAAAGTATTAAATATTTTTAAACGAAAAATCAAATGTATAAACTGACAGTAATTTTTATTATTATTGTATGAATTAGGATAATTTTAGTTCTTAAAATTAGATCAAGAAACTATATTGAAACTATATCATACGAATTATATTACACGAGTCTATACTAGTAATACTCTTACATTACTAGACCTTTATTAAATAATTTTTACTATATAGATGGATAACAACATTATTTGACACATTATTAACGCAAAACAAGCGTGAAGAAAGAGAAACGTACGAGTTGGCATAGATTATCATTTTTCTATATTCAACTATTCTAATATAATTTCTCGATCTAGTTCCAAGGTCCCACACAGAAACCTTGATCTTCGCATAGTACAAAAATTGTTACTTACAGAAATATATTCAATTTTTCTAAATTCATTCTTTTGTCGATGAAGAGGATTAAATCGTAAAATATCTTCTTTATCTTCCTATAACTTTCGATTGTGCCACCATTGATGACCACAAATAGTAAATGTCACGAGAAACAAGTCGAGAATAAATTCAAGAAAAAAATATATATACCAAACATGAGGAAATTATCAAGGATTTCGGCGTTGTTATCAATTTCTTCTCAATTTAACGAAACAAATTCGTTTCCTCTCAATGACTATCCACATGTTTCTAAAATAAATTATACCACACCGGCAAACAAATTTATTACTGGTCGCGAACTGGAACATTCGAGACGAAAACTCTCACGTGTTCATAAATATTAAAATGTCCTTAAAGCTTTATTTAGGCGATACTGTTTCCTCGTGAGGGCGCGCATGTTTTACTTTCGCGAATCAACGCAACGAACGATGTCGTTCGTAAACTGTGACAGCCAATCAAATTCGTGTACATGAAAAGAGCCATCTTACGTCACGTTTTTCAATTAAGATGTATACTATTCTTAGGACCATTTGAAAGTTCTTTTTAAAATAAGTATACATAACACCAGATATGGAAATTCAATCTCAGTCAACTGTTAGGTATGTTTGGATCATAACTTGAGTAGTTAGTCATTTGTTGTATTCTCTATTATTATAAGCAATAATGATTATTATAGTCTTTACAAATGAAATATAATTTATGGATTATATATTCTAACCTAAACTATTGTGAATACCTATGATCCAACTAGTAAGAGCGTACATGTATTGTATTATGTATAGAAATAGCTGATTTGTTGATATGAAGATAAGAGAATATAACGTATGAAATAATTAGTAAGCTTTCATAAGTTCGGTTCGATATAGTTATCTCTTGTCATGAATCATATGTTATATATTATATATAATTTGAATAGTTTGTCGAGTTATAATTAAAATACGAAATTTGAAATTTATTTTAAATATTTTTTAATAAAAATAAAAAAATATTTGAAATTGTTCATTATTAAAATATATGTATTTTTTTTCTATTAGTCTGAATCTTTGATGTTTTTCCCAAATACAAATTAAACTTTGTACATTACTTTTATATAATCTAATTAAAATAATATAAATTTTTTATCTTTTTTAATTTATTCTTTAATAAAAGTTGCTTGAACATCACAGTGATAAAAGCTTACAGACTTTCATATATATATATATATATATATAACGATCACGAAACGAGAAAATCTAACTTGAAAAAAGACAACCTCATTTCCTTCGTCCCTTATTTCTTTCATTCCCGATGTATACCTCGTTCTCGTTATCGTCCGCTCGATATCGCGAAGGAGGGCAAAGTATGCCGGATTCCTCGCATCGATGCTCGATAGAGCGATGCGTGCGCGATTGTACAGCAAGCGTGGCTCGCACGGAGCCGAGGAACAAGCTTTCGGCCATTTCCGCCGTGAGCTCGGTTCGGTTCGGCGCAACGCGTGTAATCAAGTGGTATAAATAATTCCGTGGCGCAGCCATGAGCTGGCCACCCGAGCGAAGAGCTTATTCCCCTGTTATGACACGCCGGAATCGGGACGCCTAGCCGCGCGCGCGACTACGGCCCATCGTGCAACCCCTTCGCTAGAGAAAACACGCGACTATAGCTCTTACGGATTGGCTAATCGCCATTTGTTTCGAAACGGGTATGAAAATTATTTTCCTTTCGAATGTCTTACATTTTAGAAGAAATGAGATAATAAAATTTAAGATTATTATAAATAGATTGTTGATATTTTTTTGCATTTAAAATTTTTAGCGTAAGAAAATTGAATTTATACGTTGTTGTCAAAGTTTGATTTCATATATTATTATATGCCACTTATATGATTATATGAATATTACGTTTTAAAGATTCTAATTTTAATTATGTATATTCTGGCACTTCGTTTATTATATGAATATACATTATAAAATAAAAACTATGGATAAAATATGGACTACTGGAATGTAGCTATATAAATAGATTGGAACGATTAATTCATATATTATTCATATATTACTCATTAAATAATTTCACTCTTATTTTCTATAATTTGATTTAATTATCCATTGTATATAACAAAAACTTTCTCAATAAAATAAGAAATGATTACTCTCGATATATATTCGACAATCTTTATGCTCGAATTAAATAATTTGCATTCTAAATTTAAATCATACAACTCCAATATATATATATATATATTTTTTTTATTTACTTTCGTCAAAAATAACCACAAATTAATAATGAATTAATAATTAAAAATAATAAAAAATGAATTTTCAATAAAAAAAATATTTAAAAGGATAAAATATATGAAAATCGGGCCAGGTTTAAAATGCTTTAAAGAATCGAGAAATCGGGTTGTCTACAATGGGCCGATTCTCGACTAACGCCCCGGATCGCGAAGCGGTCATTAGTGCAACGGAACCGGTGCGCCTGGGACAGGGAAACGCGGAATGTCCGCGAGCCACAGAGCGCTCGCGCTGGATGCCCCTATTATCGGTCGTCCGACCGCTAGAATGCCGTTAGACGATAGTCAATCTATTGTTCTACGTGCGTGTATGCGATCTTGACGCTCCTCAGCCGGAGAGCAAAGCCAATGGCCTAACTGTGAGTGAATCAATAACGACAGCACTGCTCTCCGGATTTTTCTTTGATTTTTTTTACCGCGCGTTCTATTTTGTAAATTTCTCGACTCAATGTGAGTTTTGATATGGAATTTAAAATTGAAAGATTCCAGTCGAAGAAAAATAACTATAACGTGAAAATCGAAATTGATATAGATGTGACATGTGCCCGTTATTAGACCCAATTATTTTTCATAATAGGAAATTTAATGAAAAATAATTTCTAAAGTATACTAAAATAAAAAAAGAACGAATAAAATGAAATTTTAAAAATATCGAAACTCGAAAAATAAAAATCCATAAATTTTTTTTTGGATAAATCTTTGTACATCATTTTCATTCCATCGTCGACAAGTATCGTGTCACGGTATAATAAATAGGCTTGTGTTGTGCTCCAAAAGACACGCACCGCAATTTCAATACAAACAACCGGTGTACGTGGTGCAATACAGTTACGACGGTCAGACGTTTCCGGTTTCTTTGAATTTTCCAGTGCAACCAACGCATAGGTAAGACGTGTAATAGATTCAAGTTAGATGTCGTTTGAAAAGGAAGAGAAGCGAATGTATAGATTGTAGAAATATGAACGTCGTTTCGATCAAATAAACGCGACTTTTCGTCCATTTTTCGAAGCTGAATCATTTTTATCGTCCCGGAACTTCCGTTATCTGGTGACATTTCGTGCGCGCTCCAAGTTACCGCGGGCAGGGAAAAAGATAAACAAAAAAATTCACGAATCGATATCTTTTATCTACGTTGCCGTTGGAAGCCACAAAAATCTCTTATAAGTTGCCATTTTTTAGAACTTCGTATCTTTTGATACCAACCATTTATTGTAAATTGTATTTTAAACTATAACATTTTTTAATTCATATCGATGATTATAATTATAATTTTGAGAAAAAAAATAATTGTAATTTTATTGTTAAATTCAGTTTTAGTTGATTAATTTTTGGAAGAATGTTATTTTTATTTTTGAATATTTTCGATTGTATTGAAAAAGCTTTTTAATTGTTAACTTTTGATTTTTATATTGAAAGAGGAATAATTGAAATGAATTTCAGATATAAAATAAAATATAATGAAAAATATGATTGATGAATATTTCCTTCTTTTCATAAAAAAAATTTCTAAAAACTTATGTCTGTGTTTTAATAAAGAAATCAAAGTAAAAATATATTTTTTTTATATATTTTTTTTAGATATAAATATTTTAGAAATGTCACTTTTATCAAAAGTATAAAAGAAATTATTTTACCATTATTTTCATTTACAATTTTTTAAAATGATACTCTTTATGAAAATCATTTAAATTTAAATTTAATTTAATCAATTTCCTTAAATCAGATACATACGAACATGTATACTTCCTATTCTTTGAATTAAAAAATATATAGAATATTAATTTTAAAATTAATATTTTATATTCCAAAAATTTTTTCCAATTTTTCGAAATAATAAATAATCACATTTTTACATCAAATGTTATTAACGAAGTAAAATCTACTAACGTCATCCTTAAAAAATTAAATAAAAAAACATTTAAATTATATTCTTTTTAATCTTTGAAAACAAATGAAACTTCGTCACGATTGACCTTTATCATCAATCGTCCATCACGTAAAAGAAAATCGTTAAAAAAAGTAATGTTTCGATGTGTCAATAAAAACGCGAAATACGAGCGTAATACACTGACTGAATACACTTAAAAGTTACTTGTACTAGTCGCAAAACAAATTATGACACATACGCGCGCCACGCCACGTCGGTAGATAAGATATATTATTTTCAAAGACATACCATCATTCCAGGCAATGTAATGGAGCACGAGCGGCACGATAGCGAGAGATTTCCTCGTTACAGGGGGGCCACCCGGGCCTGTGGCCCTGGTTGGTGGGGTCCCACCATGCCCCTCCTCCGATGGCTTCTTCTCGTTACTAGAATATCTGCACTAGTACACTGTTAATCTGCGAATATTTTCTTTTATACGACGATAATACGTTTTGACAGATCGCTGTTACAGATCCATGTTTCTTTTCTCCAATCGAGTCATGTAAAATTCTCAGCAAAATTTAAAGATCATTTTCTGGAACGCGCCAACGCAATCGTCGTACTTTCGCTTTCGTCGTGTCTTCCGTGCTTTTCCAGAGATCCTCGAACCACCACCAATACGCCACTACCGATGATAACTTTCTTTCGTATGTAATTAAATCGAAGATCCAAGTGTCATAACGATGCATACACAATAAATAACAAGAAAAATTACAATTTATTTGTAATAGTTTTTTCGCAATGATGGGATTCAATCATCGCAACACGGATTTCTAGTCAAGTGACAATGGTCCAATCGTCGTTATCATTATCTCGTTATTAATCGTTTTTATAAAAAGGATATACATGCACGATATATCCTTGATTTTTTCTTCTACTGTACAACTTAAACACTTTATAATGAAGCCTCTCTTTTTTTACTATGTTATTTTTATTATACACAATATAACCAATCCGATGCCCGTATAATAAACTTAATGCCCTTCCGATCACTTTGACTAGTTATCACACTAGAAGCCGAGGTTAGCGTTCGCGTGCACTCGAGAACTTCGCCGCGTACGGTGTATAATACTCTGTTCTCGCCGCCAGTCGAACGTCATGCAACCGGCAAGAAAAAGACGCCGGGAATAGAATCGACGCTCCCGTGTCCCTCGACCAGCATATCACCACTGTTTTACGCTGCTATTGGCGTTTGGACGACGCGAGCGCGCCGCTTGAATCCGCGGGCCGAAATTCTCAGCTCGTCGAAATGAGTTTGCGTGCCGCATATCGTCCAACGGTTCCGTGACCTCCGAACTCTGTTGAGTCTCTTTTTTCTTTTTTCTCTGTCACTCCGACGATGCGAGCGACAGATAAGACGTATAGTAACAACGTTTCGATAACATTCACTCCGAAAAACACTCGGCGCACGGCATCGTCAACGAAAGTTTCACTAGTCGCATATTTGATTTTTTTCAATAACAATATTCTTGAAATTTCCACGAATTCTTGCACATTAATGATCTTCGACCGATATCGTACACGTCCGTGCGACCAATTCTACACTGTTCCCGCGAAATGTTATTGAACACATGGTAACAACGATCCCTGCAATTTGCTCGTGCTTTCGGTTCTTGTAGTTACTAACACATCAACCGACACGAAGGGAGGGTGTTAAATGATTTTTATGTAATGTCACAATGATATCGTCGAATTATTAGTTCGAATAAACTCTTGAATAAATAATGAGAACCAAACTCTGCCCACTTTATTTTCAATAATAGTATGATAATAAAATTATGTCAAAATAGACCACATCGATTTTCCCTCGTAAATCGTCAACAGGTGGTTCGCGCGTGCGAGAACGTTGACTTGAAATACGAATGTAAGAAACATAGTCTATCATAATCGAATCTAGTCGATTAAATATCGATTAATATCGTGTCAAAAATTCACATCAGAATACAACCGATCGAGCGAAAGAGAATTGTTAAGTTGCAATTTCGAACAGCTGATTGCATACGCAGCACTCTTTCACTATTAACACTATAAAGAAGAAAATCAGATTCGTTCAAAATAATTCTTTTTTTTTTCTTTCTTTCGTCTCGTTCGCTTCACTCGATTCAGACCTCAAATTTATCTCCGTTTTATTTTGGCTCATGACGAATCTCGATCGTTCTCGTTTCGTGTTTATCTCGAAAGTACCCTTCTCTTGCTTGTCTGTACTATCGAATGCGTCACCAGCACACGAAAGTTGCACTTAACTACAGCTGCTCGTATAATACGTAGCTCCTCACGCTGGTAACCAGCGAAGTCACACGTGTACATGTATATATTACGATAACTCGATATTCCTCCTCTTTCTCTGGCGCTACTATCTTCCTTCTCGTTTCATTGGCTGTCTGTCTCTTCTCCACCGCGAAGACTGAACTATTTTTGTTGCGATGGAAGTAACGACGGTAGTAGCACGCGTCAGTCCCCCACTCTTTATTTTTCTCGTTCGCTTTCCTTCCTCCTTCTTACATTCTTCCCTTCCCACGTTCTTCTTCTCCCCGTCGTTCACGCCGTCCTCGTTCCTCGTCTTCCTCGTCGTCGTCGTCTTCGTCGTCGTTAGTGTCACCGTTGACCCTTTGTTCTTTTTGTTTACAATGCACCGATCGACCGGAACGTTGCCCCCCTGCCAGCAGACGAACGCCGGAAAGAAGAGGAGGAAGAGGTGAAAGAGGACGACCGGATTTTTTCATACGCAAACATCGGCCAGCAGCTCTTCGCAGACGGCTCGCCTTTTTCTTGCCTCTGTCACTGAGTTACAATCACGCCGTCGTAATGAAGCGATCGTGAAAATTCACTGCGAACTTTGACCAGACTTTTATCTACTCGAAAATACTCGCGCTTCACGACGACGGCCACGCGCCGTTTCATCAAGAATGAATTTTTTTTTATTATGTCCTTGTCTCTTTTTTTTTCTTATGCCACTATGAATAATTTACACAAGCGGCAGTATTATATTGTGTTCCAAAACTTTGCAATTGTAATATCCAATTAAAAAGAAACTTTTTTTCTTTAAGGAATAGAAGGAACAAAAGAAACGAAATGAAAAAAAGAAATGATCAGAAGAAGCAAAATTAACAGAAGAACACGAAAAGCACACGAGACCGCAGCACGAGGCGCGAAGAACGCGCTCGAACAGAAAAGTGTACAAGAGAGGAGGAAGAGCAAGGACCTATGGTGCTCGTCCTATCGAAGTCCGCGAGCGATTGACTCCCGCGCGTCCCGGTCTCGGAACCATGGCACGCGCGAGGGGAGCACGGGAGGGGATTCCCGCGGGAGGAGAAGAGGTACCGCGGAACGAGGAGAGATCGAGCGGGTATGTCGGGTAGTCGGACGAGGGGTGGGGGTCGCAAGAGGGAAGAGGGAGGTGGGAAGAATCGGTGGCGGTGGCGGTGGCGGTGGCGGCGACGGCCGCGGTAGAACCAGGAGGTAACGCCAAAGAGAGACTGCGGTGTGAGGCGGGAAGCGACGCTGGCGGAGGGGGACAGAACGTCCACGGCAGCGGAGGGGGTGGATATGGCGCGTGCCACTACACGCTAGCAGGTGGAGTGCGCGTGCCCAGAAATCTTCTCTCTCTTTACTCCCTTCCCTCGTCCAAACAGATCGTTCTTTCCTTCCTTCGTTCTCGTTTTCTCTAACTCGTTCCTTCTCTTATTCTTTCTCTTTCTTTCATACGTTTTCTCTATCTTTATTCGTAATCTTCATCTGTTCTATCCTATGTCGTATTACGACTATGTCACTTCCTCTCTGTTCTTCTATCACGCCGCAGTGGTTGCCTACGTTGAGTAGATATGCTTCGCAAATAAGAATACACCCTCCCTTCTACTGTTTCTTCTTCTTCTCTCGTTTCCTCGTTCTTCCGGCCACAGTCGTTATTATTCCGTTTCTTGTCACAGACGTAACTAATTTACACGCCTTATGGTCTTACTTCGCTACAGTCCACTCACTTTGTCCGTCTTACCGATTCAATCATATACTCACAGAGTTATTATTGCTTATTTAATTATTTTGTTTTTTAATTTTTATTTATAGTTCTACTTAGAAAGAAATACATCTAATGAGCTAATTTTGAAAAATTTTATTTGTCCTTGGCGCCACTTCCATCCGAACAAGATTGACAATGTTTTGGCCACGATTAGTATGCACTGTAATTTTAACTCATCGCACGATTCGAAAATTCTTGCATTCATAATATTTATGCTATGCGTGGTTGTCGCAAGTACGATAAGAGTTGCTAACAAAAGTCTTGATAACCGTCGAAGGCACGTAATAAAGTTGTCATGACAAAATTTTAAATAATATCTATGAATTTCTAAAGAATATTCGGAACATATTTTTATTCTTTATCGTTGCTTTTCATAAATTATGAAGCAATATTTTATACTTTATTTATATTGGTATCGAAAAGAAATTCTACGTTGAATCAAATATCAATAACATCACGTATCCGTAATATCGCTTATGCTTCACACAATAATTTTTAAAATTTTTTAATTTTTAAAATAAACTTTATGATAATACGTAAAAAATAAGCATTATAATTATAATGCAATTTATACTATTTAGTTTCAATTTTTCTTAATGTTCGAAAAATTTGATTCGAATTATTTTCTTTTTTTTTTAAAAACGTCACCAATCAAAAAGCTTAATTATGATAAATATGACGTTTCTTCGTATAATAATACCGTATACTCTGAATTATGTGTTAGAGTAGAGCTGTCACGGGGCTGCGCACGTGGTTTGCAAGGAGCGCGAAAGAACAACAAACCCCACATAACGAACTTGACGCCCCGAGGAGTCGCCAGCCACTGACTCTCTTTCTGATTCGACTCGACTCGACTTGACTCGGCTTGGTTCGACTGGCCTCGCCTCGCCTCGCTTCGCCTTGTCTCCCTCACCACACGTTATCCCGCTTCGTCTCGTGTCGTCTCGTCTCGTCTCGTCTCGTCTCGTCTCGTATCGTATCGTCTCGTGTCGCCTCGTTCGTTCCGTCCGCTGCGGTACGTCGCACCGCGCCACGGTGAAGCGCGCACGTAGGCACGCGTTCGGCTATGCTCGTCCCGAAGCCGATTCGATCCGAAGCGACTCGCCAAGATTCTGACTTCAATTTCGACTCCGATTCGCGCTCCACTCGTTCCAATCAGAGTTTTACCTTCTTGCGTGTTTTATATTATCCGTATAATGCCATCAACTACCATAAAGGTTCACAAGTCTAAATCTCCACAACTATTCGAACGGTAACAGGTATACAGCAATATCTATCATCTATAGTTTCGATAATCCTACATATGCTGTCAGTATGGCGTCAGCCAAAGGAAGCCGAGTCGATATAATATACCGTGAACTATGAGAATGGCAAGACAACGTGAGTGACGATGAATCGACGGGTATTGTTACGTGCTATGACTGTGATATTTATATTAACAAAAAAATTTTTAGAAAGAGAAAATTATACAATATTTAAATCTTATAATGTTAATATTGTTTTTTTTATTAGAAATATTTTTTATTTAAATAGTAATTTTTTAAATAGATAGAAAATTTTTCAATTCTTATAGTGACTTTATAGTATATTCATATGGCATTTGGATATGTACTTTTATTAAATATAAAGACAATGATTCCGAATTATAGAAATTTCTTTTCACCTTTAAGTCACGAGCGCGACTTAAGCGACTGCCGTGCAGCTGGCAGCCAAGCTTTTACTACACAGACGCATTCGCGACACGTCGCCCGCACTCCGAACCTCCACCAACACTTCGTTGCGTCATCACAGTTTCACGGTGTGTCGGGATTCGACGGGAGGAGAACGCGCGCGAGCGCGCAAACGGGACCACTGCGAAAGCGACGCATCTGTATCGCTCCGCTTACACTTATTACAAATCCGCCAGTGATACTCAACCTAATTTAAACTTCATGTAAGCGTGACGCATCGATACAACGGTATAACTCAAGCTTAAACGTAAATTAATTTTCGCGATTTATTTCTTATCTCTTTATATATATATATATATATATATATATATATAATATTAATTTAATGTTTGTTTATATAATTTGATAGATTTTTTTATATCAGATTTTCGAATTTCTATATATAAAGTCATAATATTTAATATATCTTGTAAAAAGAAATGAAATATTCGTTCAAATTAATATTTTTATAGAAATGAAAGATATTAAGATCAAATTTTAATAAAATGAATTAAAATAAATCATATCAATCATATGTTTTAAATAATATTTAAGCGTATTAATATTAAACCCTTTATATTTCATTTTATTATATATTATATTTATTATATTTTATTATATTTCATTTTATTATATATAGTAACATTTGATAGAATAATAATACGTAATATTAATATAATATTAAAATATTAATATATTGTAATACACGATTAATAAATTCTAAAGCGTATCTAGTATCTGCTAACTTTTTACATAAAAAACTTGTTTATAGTATTTTTAATTTCAATGCAAAAAAGGAAATCGCAAATTATTCTCACCAAAGTCATTTACTATTATTAATCTGAACTTGGAAATATGAGCAGTCATATGAGTAGACTTCTCATTACGCCTAGACACATTAAGATCAAGTACGCTAACGTTCCACATCCTCGAAAGCGATAATTCGTGTTCAACTTCGGCCCACGTACAAAGTAATTATCGTAGTTGAATCGGTCGCGAACTAAGCACTATAATTAAAGATCAAAGATTCACCAAAGCGTTTGTCAACTAATGGTAACCACCGATATGCATCTTTGGAACGAGAGGCAATATTAACAACATGGATGTCGCGTGCAGATATTATAGGAATATCACGACACGGTAGAATAGTGGGATGCCGTTTGTAATTAAATGTCCGACACGGTATCATAAAGACGAACCTCGTATCGCGACATCATCCGCGCAATTGATGTTCATCCATCGTACATTCTTTGCATACAGAATGACACGTGTTATGTTTCAATTAATATGAACGACAAATCTGGCAAAAATTTTAACGATACTCAATGATTTAAATCTTTGAATATAAATTGATGTTTATATTGGCTTGATTAATAAAATAGTAAAAAAAACAATTAATTTTGAAATTAATGATTAAATATGTATATGAATATTTATATATTCATGTATTATATTTAAATGATTACGATTAAAAATAGTAAGCATAAAGAAATAAAATGATAAAATTCGCGATATGTAAGAATAAAACGATTTTTTTTCTCATAATGAATAGATCATTATTGAATAAATTTTGTATCTTTGTTTCGAAAAAAAATATTTAAAAAATTTTTTATTTTTATAAATTGATCCATACTCCATACGACATTCTATTCTTTCCAAGAAATGAACAAACTGAAAATTTTTCGTCGAATCGTAAAGTAATCTCGATTAATCTTTAAAATAAACTAAAAGATTAATAAAGAAATTGTAAATATTTTAATCGATGTGTTACTTCGATATCAGTATAACTGATATGCTCTAACTCAATGATTCTAATATCACGAAAAATATGGACCTATATGGAAGTATAATAAAGATAAGGAAAGAAAGATAAAGAGAATAGGAGAAACCAAAAAACACAAGGGGACAAGCTGAAATAAGATGATGGAGTGATATGCTTCATAATTTCCATATATAAATTATTTAATTGTTTGATTAAATTGTTTATTTACAACTTATTCGTTGCTGTATTATCCATTTTAATATTTCGTTTTTATATAAATGTTTTTCCATAATTTATGCGATAGCGCCGTCAGTTTAATTCTAAATTCAATGGTACCGTTACAACAAGGCGCGATGTCAACGCAAAAAATAAACTGGTTTATAAGGATTACAGAGAATTTGCAATCAAAAAACAGCGGTTGATCGTGAAACTGAAAAAGTTAATAGGTTCGTGAAACAGTTCGAAAATAATTAAACTATTATTCGGTGTTTTATTTTATTAATTTTTCCTACTGAAACGTAATCGTCCGATTATTTGAAAAAAAATCAACCGTTCGAAAAACGTATCGCTCAATTATTCGAATAATCGAGATTCTGTCGCACATAACTTTTGCAAACATCAACCAAACATTTATCTATTTTGATTTTTAATAATTATTAATAAATAAAAAAAATTAACCATTGTATATACAATTATATATAATTCGTGCTAAAAAACAAATTCTTCGAAATCAAAATCTTATACCGTTATAACCAAAGCTAAAACTCGACCAAAGAAAATAATCTCACGTGATTCGATTTCGATTAATTCGATTCGATCATCTAGAAGCGAGTTCGAGTTATCGATAAATCCAATTAACGACACCCACCTTCCTCTCGAGATGGTGAGTTATTAAAAGTTGTCAGCCACCGATAACTCTCGGTCTACGTATCGAGATAGAACCGCAAAATCTTGAACCGACTTCTCTACCAAACGAACGAAAGAAGTTCTTCTCCATTGGTTTCACCACGCCTCCAGTTCTCGCATATGTATTTTTAGGTTAGACTATTTTCGAAAGTGCACGGAAGAAATAGGGGAGTGGGAAGAAAGAAAAGAGAAACAGAGAGAAAGAGAGAGAGAAAGAGAGAGAGAGCGGAGAGAAATAAAAGAGGAGGATAGAGAAAATGGGGAAGAATACCGATCGTTCCTTCCTTTTTTTCTTTCGCGGTATCTGCTGGCTCGTTTTCGCCTACAGTCACGTAAAAGAAGCCAGCACCGGTATTATCCGCACAATGCACACACAGAAGAAAAGACTCCGTGAGTGGAGCAAGAGGGGAAGGGAGGGAAACCGAGATGGAATAGAAACGGGGCGAAGGTGAGCGTCGTTGGAGTAACAAAGATGGCGGAAAGAAGAGGTCGATGCCGCCTTCCTTACTGATTTGCGAGATCACTCTCTCCCTCTTTCTTTCCATCCTTTTTCACTTCCTTTTTTCCTTTCTATCCTCGTCTTTTTCCCTTGCAATCCCTCCTCACGACTTGTCACCCTGCCAGTCCCTCCTGTTTCTGGGTTTGCCGTTCATTGGAATGCGAGAGTAATCATTCCATCCTTCTTCATCGACCTCTTTCGCGACACGGCCGTAACCAGAACCGACTGATTTTCTGTTCCATTGCTTTTGCTTCGATGCACGCGCCTATTTATCGCTACAATTATTGCCACGGATGCCTTTCCTTCCATCGACCATCGAAATACTCTACCTCTTCGTGGTTTCTCACGGTTCGCGTGCTTTGAGATTAACCTTCCATAAACGCACGTGACTTGCAAGTTTGTTATATGCATTTCGATGTATTTATCATTGTGTTAACACAAGTATTATTTCATTTATGTTACATGTCAATCTTTAATTTTTATAAATAAATGATTAATAAATTTAATTAGATTAGAATTAAATTAATATTTTATATTATCAATCTCTTAATATATGGATTTTTAAATTTCATTTATCTTTCATCTTGAAATTATAAAATTAATTCATAAGATTAATAAATACTAATAAAGATAGA